GTGTGTGTGTGTGTGTGTGTGTGTGTGTGTGTGTGTGTGTGTGTGTGTGTGTGTGTGTGTGTGTGTGTGTGTGTAATGGTTTATACTTGTAAACAGACAGTAGTCAACAGCATTTATGAAAGAGTTATGAATAAAAAAAGAAAATATGGTTTTTGCTGGTATCTTTATGACTGCATTATACATTGTAATTAATGCAGTCCTTTTTCAACCACTGAAAATATTTTTATACATCTGTGTTATATTTGTTTTAATTTCTGCTGCCCTCTTGGCCAGATCTCTCTTACAAAAAAGTATATTTTTAATGCCAATGGGACGTTTTATCTGGATAGATAAAGGTTATATAAGCTTCACTTTGCCAGTCTAAACTTTACAAATATATCATCTCTTTTGTTGTTAAGGTGAGTAAAAACCAGACAATGGAAAGATACTGGCTTTGTAGTACAGGCCTCTGGAAACACACACATTATATAAATAATTATTTATTAAGTATATTGAATTAAACCTTTTTGTTCACTAAATGGTGTTTGATGTTTTGTCATATTGTTTTTTTAACTATCATGCAAATACATCACCGTTGAAAGTGGAAATAAAATAAATTTTAGTATCAACGCTGATGCTCAAACATGAATCCACAGTGTAAGAAAGTAAAATATTAAAATGTATGTTTTTTAATCGCATTTTTGTTGCATTTGAGATTCTGTTCTCTGTGGCATGACCTGAACTGCTATTCATTTTGAAACATGTGCTAAATCTTTGACTATAAACTGGTGAGACTATAATCTTGTTTAGCCTCGGTTGCCGGTTAAACCCAGAGGTCAGGTTTTACCGACAGCGTTCAGTCGAGTCGGACACGTTTCCTTAACAACGGAAAATGTGTGTTTCAAAAACAGCGACGTCACGCACTTCCCGTGATGCTTAGCGAGCCTAAATTGAATGCTCGGCAAAAGAAAACATTTGTATTCTGTGTGTGTCGATTTTACGGGTAAAAAGCACAAAACAACACATTTGAACTGAGTTAGAAAACACTACGAGAACCAAATTAACAGTGCATACGGGGGGAAGCGTTTGCTGGGGGAAAGGTAGGTGCTAATACGATAAATTGTTTTACACAGCTGAGCTAGCGTTAGCATTAGCCTAGCTTTCTGTGCTGGGTCGTTGGATTATTTAGATTTTCTTTATTCGTATTTCAGCGATAATCACCAGAGATAGCAGTATTTCGCTTTGTGGGATATGCAAGTAAATGACTGCTGTTGGGTTGCGTTTCAAAGTTACAAGACTAAGGTTATCATAAAGATAATTTAAGTGCTGTTAGCATGTCAGAGTCCACAGTCGCAGCTGATCATAGGTACTGGTATGTCATTTAATTACACGTCGGTGGTTGGTTGGTTGGTTGGTTGGTTAGTTAGTTAGTTAGTTAGTTGGAGATGGAATGAAACCAAAAAACTCTACATTTTAACTATTGATTGGTTTATCTTTGTAATTCTTCCGGAGGGTTTTAATGTAGCTTTATTGCCTCATTGATCAATACAAAGCAGTTCCTCTGGGGATTACTGCTCCATGTCGGTGACTCTTAGCATTGTCGTTTGATAAACGGTAAGTTCAAAGCGTTTTAAATCAGTTGAATAACGGGTTTATTTATCTAACAACAAATACACCGTGTATGCCGATGTTTGACAGGTAGCTTATACACGGTGCCATTTCCTATATAGGATAAACACATCGTCAATGAACGCATCTTGTGAATGAACTTTATTGTGGTCTTGTCCTGTTCTCAGGATCATGGATCAGGACTATGAGTGCAGGCTCCTCAGACAGATCAATATCCAAAATGAGAATGCAAGTCCCATTGTAAGTAAAAACAAGTTTTGTTTTTTTTTGTCTATTCTGTCTGATTCCTTGTATGTAAAGTAATGTTCATCCTCTGAACAAAAGCTAATTCTGCTGTCTAATTAAGACTAGTCAAATCTGCAAGTAATCTTGAATAAGGTCATTGTCTTAATTTTTAAATGATGATATCCCCTCCCAGGAGGGACGTGAGGGCAGTGCTTTCCATGTATTATAAGGGAAAAATGGTTTCACATGGCAGTCTATTGACACTGTCACCACTGTTGAGTAAAAACAAGACCTTACTGGCCAAAAGACTGGCTTTTGTGAATGTTGCCTCCTGTTGTTATCACCTCAAAAAAACACACCATCTGCCATCTAAATTATGTTCCTGTTCCGTTATTGAGTTTTCAAATCCACTCCGAGGCCTGTTTGTTTGCCGTAGAGTAAAAAAAAAAAAAACCCACAATGCTGTCTTCTCTTTTCCCTTGTGCAGAAAGCTCTAGGAGCAGTGCAATCTCTGACACCCACCAGCTCCCCCCTGTCCTCTCCTAGCAAGCATGGTGATCGCTTCATTCCCTCCCGGGCTGGAGCCAACTGGAGTGTCAACTTCCATCGCATTAATGTGAGTCTGCCACAACAGCAAATACACCAAGCACTCTTCTGCCTGTCCTACCAAAAGAACAATGCTCTCAAGATTAAAGTGTTTGCTTTGTTTTTTCTAATACTTAAGTTTACAGAATTGGTTGAGAGTGATCATATATTCATTATGATTATTTTAACACAGGAAATTGAAAAGTCGCACAATCAAAATAGGAAAACCAAAGATGGCACCACTGACAGCAACAAAGGTAATCCATTGCTTTTCTCTTGAATGATGACAAACTGTGTTTCCACCTGCACCTCTCTTGTCACAAGCATTTAAATTGTGAATGAGACAAAATCTGTTTTTGCATTTTCTTTGTGTTCAGTTTTCTTTACTTTAGCTTCTGTCTGAATGTTTGTGTAGTTGGAATTTAGTTTCACCCCTGTGTTTGTTCATTCAGACTTTAGTATTAGAGTGAAAGCTCTTAATGGTGCTGTAAATTTGCTCAAAATAAGGTTGGTTATATGTCACACTTAGGTGTGTGTTTTTCTTTTTTGTTTTTCAAGGGTATCGTAATGGATAAAAGATGATGAAAAAAAACTTTAGCCTATATTTTATCATGATATTTAGTTACTGAATAATTATCATGATAGTTACTCGCTTTCCCATCCCCAAGTGAAATATGTTTTTCTGTGTTGTAGATGTGCTTTAGGTGTGAGTTTTATCCATTTTCAGTTCATTTCCACAGGTATCTCTTTCTGCTCCAGTCAAACTTGATAATTTGACCTTCTCTTGTTTACTAAGCCTGGGCAGGCTCATGGAGACTGCAGATAAGGGCTAAACAAAGCTTAGTGGAAAATTCTCCCTGATCTTCAGAGATGTGAGCGAGAGCTGAGAAACTGCAAAGGGAGCACAGGGTTTGAAGTTAATCATTTCGACAGCCTGGTTTGATTTCCCCTCTGTCTGTTCCTTTGTCTTCAGCGGACGGTCTGGCTTACTCAGCTCTGCTGAAAAATGAGCTACTAGGAGCAGGCATTGAGAAAGTCCAGGACCCCCAGTCAGAAGATCGTCGCTTGCAGCCATCTACGCCTGCCAAGAGGAGCCTTTTTAGTGTAAAAAAAATAATAATAATGTTTTTGTAACTGGCTAAGTGTTTTTTGTTTTACGGTGGGTTTTGTCTGCGTTAGAAATAATCTGTTTGATTGTTGTAGTATTCTGTAAGTACCAAGAGAGCTCTTCCCGACGAGGATGGAAACACAGTCTCTCCCTATTCACTATCACCCGTCAGTAGTAACAGGTAATTAAAATTTCCAGCTAAACGTGAAAGTGCCATTTCTTAATATGGGGAGAAAAATTGACTGTGTTGCTTACATGTTATTGTGCTTTACAGTCAGAAACTTCTTCGATCGCCACGAAAACCAACACGCAAGATTTCTAAAATACCTTTCAAAGTTCTGGACGCTCCAGAGCTTCAAGATGATTTCTACCTCAACCTAGTGGACTGGTCCTCTCTGAATGTGCTCAGTGTGGGACTGGGTACCTGTGTCTACTTGTGGAGTGCCTGTACCAGCCAGGTGTGTGTGACATGTTAGCTGAGAAAACCTGTGATAGTGTGTCATACTTAATGAAAAAGACATAATTGAACTACCTCCTGGTACATTCGTATTAATCTGTCTCCTTTGTCTGGCACTTTTCGAAACTTTAGGTGACTCGTCTTTGTGACCTTTCTGTAGAAGGAGACTCTGTGACGTCAGTGGGCTGGTCAGAGAGGGTGTGTTTTTCTTTCATTGATTCTTGTCTTTGCAAGCTCTCGTCCAGGACTTTAAACAATGCTGTAATAAAGCCTGCACAGCTGGCCTTTTTTTACAGTTTCTGAAAGCAGAAAAACTGCCAGAAACTGAGTGTTCAGAGCACTCTACAGCCTGAGGTTTGGGCTCATAGTTATTGTTTTTTAAAAATATGACTTTAATTATCGATTCTTTGGATATGTTTATGCAAGGTTGAGAATTCACCATCACAACGGTATATATGAAATATATGACAGAAAGTAAGGAAAAGCATAATTGGTTCACTTTGAAGGTCTGCCATGAAACAAGAGTATGTCTGGATATTTCAAAGAAATTCAAGCTTATTTATGATTTCAGGCTTTTAACCTATGATGTAACTAAGAAAAGGCTTGAGGGTATTTGCACTTGCTCCTATTTTTGTGCCATTGTAAGATTAGACTCCCACTTGCCAGTGTCATCTTCAAAGTGTGCTGTCTGTTTTTAGGGTAACCTGGTAGCTGTAGGCACCCACAAAGGCTATGTACAAATCTGGGATGCAGCAGCAGGGAAGAAGCTCTCTGTGCTAGAAGGACACACAGCCAGAGTGGGTAAGTTGAAAGTCTATGGAAATGAAGGCAGAGACAGTCATTCAAGCTTCACTTATTTTCACACAGTTGTTTAGCAACATCTCTCATTCATGATCGGTGAATCATCTCCCCTGGTCGTCATTCCCTGCTTCTAGGTGCTCTAGCATGGAATGCCGACCAGCTGTCGTCTGGGAGTCGTGATCGGGTGATCCTGCAGCGGGACATCAGGGCACCGCCTCTCCAGTCAGAACGTCGGCTCCAAGGACACAGACAGGAAGTCTGCGGGCTCAAGTGGAGCACAGACCACCAGCTTCTAGCCTCGGGTGGAAATGATAACAAGGTGTGCAGAGAATCTCGCCCAATGCCTTTGTCTGTGCCACATTTTTATTGGGGTCCCTTTTTTATAAAAAACGCCAAAAATTTTCTGTCCTCTTGTTATTGCAACCTGCTGTCTGCAGTTACTTGTGTGGAACCACTCAAGTGTCCTCCCAGTGCAGCAGTACACGGAGCACTTAGCTGCAGTGAAGGCCATCGCCTGGTCTCCTCACCAACACGGCCTGTTGGCCTCTGGAGGAGGCACAGCCGATCGCTGCATCCGCTTTTGGAACACTCTGACTGGCCAGCCTCTGCAGTGTACAGACACCGGCTCTCAGGTCTGCAACCTGGCCTGGTCCAAGCACACTAATGAACTGGTGAGACACCCCATGTCTTTGACTGCACTCTGCTCCTGTGAAATAGAATACATGCATCTGCTCTTAAATACGGACATACACCAAGGTTAATTTTAGGGCTATTGGTGAGGAGTTTTTTTGCTATTCAGTAGCATTCAACTCAGTTTTTATTTATTTTTCTCTTTTGTGCGTGTGTTTTTGGCTGGAAAATACGATGGAAGCAGTGATGTGGAATTGTTGATTTTTATCCGATGGTAGACAAACCTGCCAGCTAAATAAGTGGAAAAAACTGTTCCTCCTCTGCAGGTCAGCACGCACGGTTATTCCCAGAACCAGATCCTCGTGTGGAAGTATCCGTCTCTAACTCAAGTGGCCAAGCTTACGGGGCATTCCTATAGAGTACTTTACCTGGTCAGTATATTTTTTTCCTTTATAACTAAATTAAAGATAATCTTAACTTAAAATAAAACTAAAGCAGAAATAAATAGTCACAGAAAAAAAAGTGTAAGGAAATGATCCTATAAAACTAGACTCACTGACTGACCCTTTAAGAAGTGTCGCTGTTAGATATCCCAGGGTAAAAGGGTGACACTGACACAGAGCTTCTCAAAAATAAAAAAATGAGTGAAACTGACATTTTCTACCTCTTTCTGATGTTTTGGGTAAGTGCTGTTGTGAGTGATTTCTGTGCATCACTTTGGCTTTACACCAACAATTAATACATAGGAATGCACATGTAAACTTAAGAAGGATGTTAATTAATATTTTATGTGCTGAAAGCAAATATAGTGAACTTTAGATAGGAGTATAAAAATTATATTTTAATAAATAATTACACTTAAAGCAAACTAAAATGATAAAATCCTTCCTGTGCCCACTTCAGATTCCTGTAATTACATCAGAATCAGAATACTTTATTAATCCCAGAGCAAATGATGTAGCTGTTATAGTGGTGCATATTCAGTGTTTAATAATAACTTGCATGCAGGCTATGTCACCTGATGGGGAGGCCATCGTGACGGGGGCTGGAGATGAAACTCTGAGGTTCTGGAACGTCTTTAGCAAGATGAGATCCACCAAGGCATGTTTTCTTCCCATTTCTCACTTTCTATGTGTTGGGCTTCCTTGAATGCAGTTTTCATCACCTGCGTGTTATTTTTGTAGTGGTCTCTGTCTAACGTCCACCTTCCTTCTTTCAGGAATCAGTCTCTGTGTTAAACCTCTTCACCAGGATCCGGTAGTCTGCACTGTACGGGGAATAAAAACAGGAAGGGAATTTGTCTTTGCATGTCTCCTGGTGTAAATGGGGCCTCTTTGAACACTCTCCTCAGTACTCTGCAGAGGTCCTCCTCGACTGGCCTTAGTTAAGTTGTAGCAGAAGATGAGATGAGAGGAGACACATAGACCGAGTATCGAGGGTAGAAGAGATGCACACAGTATTCCACTTCCTCCTGAATGATGGAGCCACTGCCGCCTCCAGTTTCGGGGCCTTTATCTCCCCGTGTCTGCAAACAGACGTTGTGCATACCTGCCAAATATTGAGTTTGTCCTTGTGATCGTTTATTTATTTTCTGTTTTTGTTTAGTTTCTTTGTTGTTTGTATGTTTTTTGCTCCTTTTTTCTTTTTCTTTTTTTTTTTTACATTTTTAACATATGTTATCGACGTATTTGCTGCAAAGGCTGGTTGACTTAATTTCATGTGCATAACTGCAGTTTTTTGGTCTGATCTGTGGAGCAAGTTTGATTTTGTTCAGGTTTGCAGAAAAAAATTCCAAGCTTGCGTTACCTTTTCCTGAGGGGCAATAATGTTTCGTGTACACTGATAAAAAGATTCATAATCTTGTGCCATTTTGCTAATAGTTAACAAGGATTCAGTGAAAGAGCCTGATCTCTCTTGTTTTTGTTTTTTAAGAAAAATGACATTTTTATTTTAGTTATTGAAAATAATAATCAAACATGGCAAGCATTACTTCATTATCTCCCCAAAACAATTTGTTTTTGGGAGATTATCTTTTCCTAATTGAAAAGCAAGCCAAGGAAAATTAAAAGGAAATAGCTTTGGCTTATCATTGTAGTTTACAGCAACCGCTAGCGCACAGTAAAAACATTTGTGATTAAACCAGATGGTGAAATGCTGCTGTGTAAAGAACTTCTGCTTTGTGCTATGTCTGTAACATATTCAAGCTTGGGGCGCTCATTTTTTTGCTACTTCAAACTTCTTCTGTGTCAGGCAGTCATGCTGTTGAACTTTGTTTTTTAATCTGGAGAAATATTTCATATCCTCTGCCACGTTTTCTTTGAATGTTTCAGTCACCTACCTTTGAACAAGCGCTATTTATTTGTCTTGTGAAAGTTTAGAGTACAGAGTGAAAAGGTTTGCTTAGCGAGGTTGTCTGAAGGGAGCTGACGGTCAACTCTAAATTTTAATGTCACTTAAAGACAACGCTGGCAACTTCAGTTATTGAAAGAATGTTTAAAAAAGAAAAAATTTCTGTACTGGAACATGAACAACAATTAAATTGCCATATCTTGTAACTTAGTGCTGTTTTATTGGACTGTAACTACTCCTCAAGTTGTTAGTAATACTTTACGTTCCTGCTTTGTGCTCCAACCAAACAATCATCTGTTTAAACTAAAGGGTGTCTTTAGTTTGCAGGTATTCTCAGTTATTACACGTTTGGTTACATTTGGAGAAGAATCCTTTATATGAATTTATTTATCATATAATTTTTAGAGAACAAAATATTTTGATTCTGGTTTCTAAACTGAGATGTGAACATTTTCAAACTGTTTTACAGTTAAAACAGATAAGTTAAACCTTTTTAGTCCCACATGTGGGAAATTTTTTGGTCATGGCAGAAAGTACAAGAGCAGTAAAAATAGAATAAAATACTTTCTTATATTGGGAAGATTGCACTTGGTACTATTGCACATCGGAGAGACAGAGTGAAATTTACAATTGTGTATGGGATGTGTGTGTGTGTGGGGTCATCTGCAAAGACCATGTTGTAGAGTCCGACAGTAGCAGCAAGGAAATGCCTGCGAAATCTTTCCGTCCCACATCGTGGGTGCCGCAGTCTGCCACTGAAGGAGCTTCTCAGTGCTATCAGAGTCTCCTGCATGGGGTGGGAGATGTTGTCCAACAGAGATGACCGCTTAGCCACCATTCTCCTGTTACTCACCACCTCCACTGGGTCCAGAGGGCATCCTAGAACAGAGCTGGCCCGTTGCTACTCCAGCAGACCACACCGTAAAAGATGGCTGAGGCCACCACAGAGTCATAGAAGGTCCGGGCCTTCACTCCAAAAGACCTCTGCAGCAGGTACAGCCTGCTCTGCCCTTTTCTGTAGAGAGCATCTGAATTGTGAGTCCAGTCCAGTTTATTGTTCAGATGAACACCAAGGTACCTGTAGCTGTCCACAGCCTCAATGTCCATACCTTGGATGTTTAGTGGTTGCAGTGGAGAATGTTTGTGCCTGTGGAAGTCTACCACCAGCTCCTTGGTTTTACTAGTGTTGATCTGGAGGTAGTTCTGCTGGCACCAGTCCACAAAGCCTTGGGCCAGCACTCCGTATTCCTTGTCGACCCCATCAGTGATGAGGCCAACTATTGCAGAGTCATCAGGGAACTTCTGCAGGAAGCACTGAGTGGAGTTGTGAGAGGAGTCTGCAGTGTAGATGGTGAAGAGGAATGGAGCCAGAACTGTTCCCTGTGGGGCCCCATACTGCAGACAACCTTGTCAGACCCCGAGTTGTCACATACTGTGGTCGATTGGTGAGGTATTCCAGTATCCATGTTTTGAGGTGATGGTCCACTCCTGTGTTCTCCAGCTTGTCCTTCAGAACTGAGGGAAGAATGGTCTTAAACGCACTGGAGAAATCAAAAAACATAATCCTCACAGTGCTTCCAGTGGTCTCCAGGTGAGAGATTAAATGATGTAGGAGGTGAATGACAGCATCATCCACTCCAGTGCCAGGCTGGTAGGCAAACTGAATTCGGTCCAGTGATAAGCTCATCAGGGGGCGAAGCTGAGCTAGGACCAGCCGCTCCAGGTTCTTCATCAGGTGGGATGTCAGAGCCACCGGCCTGTAGCTGTTGAGGTCCTCGGGACAGTTAAAACTTTAATAGAGCTATAGCAATATAATCTCAGTTTCCTGTTCTTAGATGAGAAGAGTGCCACCACTGTGGTCTTCTCCTGCTGACCAGAAATCCCAGCAGATTAGCAGTTTCTGAAATACTCACATTAACCTGTCTGGCACCAACAACCACGCCACAGTCACTTAAATCACCTGAAATATTGTACCTAACAAAGTGTCTGTGGATTTTGTGTTTTGATTCAGTGTTTTTCTCTCTTATTTTGGGTTTTCACTTATTTTGTCACTTATCCAAACACCTCCCAACATATTTGTCTTGTAGTTATGTCAGAACTAAAAGTGAACACCAGAGGGAGCCATCCTATGAGCTGGTCCAAAATGAGTGATTCAGTGACGCTACCATACAGCAGAATCTACCTGAACAAAGCTACCTCAAAGGTAAGGATCAGATCTTACATTCAAAAGAGGAATAATTTGATATTAACAGCATTGGTTGTTTTTATAACAAGCTTCTGGAAAGGGTAAAAATCTGACCAGACAAACCCCACGGGGCATGTGGTTTCATTTTACCCTCAGTTTAAAACCATATTTGTTCAAATGGGAGCTTTTAACAGCCAGAAAACATCCCGCGGCCTCACCTGGTTTCCAGGAAGTGTGCAAATTTTCATCATATTACCAGCCCAGCCCACACAAGCATAGTTTTGACCCAGAGCATGAAAAATAATGAATGTTCACTGCCTCCCAAAGCTCCCACACCTCTGCTTGTGCCCTGTTGCTTATCCAAACTCCCTCTTACACATTCAAACAGCAAATGGATTTTATCAGTGTAAACAACAGCTGAAGGGTCCAAATGCATGAATAATGATGGCTGATGTTGAATAATTATGTTGCTCTGGTTTTATTTTAATTTGAAAAAACTGAAATGATCCACAGCTTTGTTGGAATTTGACTATTAATAAGTAGAGCTTAACAAACAAAGACAAAAAAAAAAAAAGAAAGAAAGAAAAATATCACTGCTAATTGAGTGGCTTCAAAAATTAAAGGTCTTTTTCGTGAAGTGGTTGCTTTTTTTCTGTGATGAAAATCAAGTAGTGTAGGCCTAAGTGACTCAGCTCTATCAACACCAAAGAGCCCAAGCCTCTCTCCCTTTCAGACTCCATTATAATGTCATCGAAATAACATGCATAGTCCATTATAGTGATCAGATAAATCATCTGAATGGAAGACTTTCAGCACAGTCTTCCAGCTCATCTGTGGCTCTCGCTCACTGTGCAGATGTTAACATTAAGCCCTGAAAGCAGAGGGGAGAACAGAGGGAGATCGCTAATATGCATAATCCTACCTCCTGATGTTTCTATCAAGAGGCACCGAGCGCGTGGTTCGTTATACAACCAAAGCCTCACAAGACAGCGAACATGATATTCCCCCAGGTTCCTCCCTAAGCCTGACTCTTGAGTTTCATTGATAAGCAGTCTTTACAGGGATATCAAAGGAACAAAGCTCGTGTGATAGCTGCAGCCACCCAGGTTTCTTCTTTGGTCATTTTGTTAGAAGGAAAAGAGCACAGAGAGTCACTCATGTGACTCATGTCCCACTGACACTCGTCAGTCACCCCAGCAGAACTTTGGTATCCATAAAATGATGGTGGATGGGTAAGGATGGTTTTCTTCAGCCTGTAAAGTGTGACCAGCTGTCAGATGGTGAGCGTCAGATAAAATGCTATTATTTCAGTATCTCACTGGGGCGGAAGAGCTTAATCGAGCAACCTAAAAACTTTGATGAAATGTTTTTCAGGGGACTCGGGAAACATCCTCGGACTGGCGTTCGAGATTTCTTTAATGGAAAATATTAATCAAATAATGAATAAGTGAAATTGTTTAAGATAAGCAAGTGCCAGTTTTAAGCATCTTTATTTCTTAACAGTTTAAATTAGGACAATAACAGCAAGAAAGTCCTGGATTTGAAACCTTTCTGTGTGGAGTTTACATGCTCCCCCACGTGTCTGTGAGGGTTCTCTCTCCGTCCTCCCACAGTCCATAGACACGCGTGGCGTTACCATAACTGGTGATTCAAAAGTGACCATGGGTGAGACGGTGAGCATGAATGTGTTTGTCCTGCAATAGACCTTACGCTATGACAGCTGGGATAGGCTTCTGCTCGGCATCAGACTGGTGACCAGCGG